ACTCTTTCGAGGATCTTTTATAAAATTAGCATAGTTTAATATAAGTTTGGGGGAATAACAGAGAAAAGAAAAGTATTTAGAAAATAATCCAATTATTATTAAAAGAACATGATTTTATTAACAACTAATAATGATTTTTAAAACCTTCAATGGTAATAGCCGTTGCATCATAATCTTGTTTCTGAGACTGCATAAGACATTCATCCTCTTTAAAATAAAAGAAAAAAAAAAGTTGAAAATTTTAGATTCAATAGGAGATGGACATATCGAATTGTATCTGTTGTTGCTAAAATCTGACAACGTAAATGCAAAATAATTTTCAGCAGAGTACCAGGATTGAAGCATTCGGCATGTTTCTCTGCTACACATCATCCGAGTGCATTTTCGCATTTGTGGTATCCTCAGTCCTGAATTTGCTCCTTTCCTTTCGTCTAGAATCTTGATGTTGTGCGCCATTATAGATCAAAGTTGGGTTTTTTCTGGAACTTCCTGGTTGAAAATTTGAACAAATTCCTTGACCTTTCCCCTAACCCTGTTCTTCCCAAGGCCGTCTCTTGATTTTGTTTTTCCAGATAAGCCTGTTTCGGGAGCAGAGTGATGTTTTGTTTCCACTGAAGCCCCGAAGGCAGAATTTTATAGGACCATCTTCAACAATCACTTGAAGATTCAGATATAGGGAAACTTGTGTCCTCAAGAATTTGACACGATTCTACTTCACCCTGAATGCTTGTGTCGAAGAGGAAGAGATCATCTTGTTTGTCAAGCTCCATTCGACCACTGAATGAGGAGTTGCTGAACGTAATTCTCTTGCTATACCCTCGTATGCTGCCCATCCAATAGCACTTGAACATCTCTGAAGTTTACACTTCTCACTCAGCCTTGATTTGCTAGCTCCTCTGAGAGGCATCGCAAAAGGTAATCCTTCGGGTGCTCACTTGTAAATAGTAAAATGAAATTGGTTTCTGTTTGTTGGAATTTATTTAAACTGTTCTTTTAAGTAACAGATTTTTAACAATTATCATTCAGAATTATACAAACTATACTATTTTTTTCAAAGTATACTCTTTCCTTATAATTTTTTTGAAATTGTGTTAATTTGATTTTTTTAAAATTAATATTTTTTTATGTTTTTATATTATTTTAATATGTTGATATTAAAATAATATTTAAAAAATAAAAAAATATTATTTTAATATATTTACGAGTAAAACATAATTTGAAAAATAATCATACCATTTGACATTGTATTTTGAAAATATTTAAAAAAAAAATTAAATTTATTTATTTATTTAATTTTATATTATTTTAATATATTGATATTAAAAATAATATTTTATAAATAAAAAATATTATTATAATATATTTTAAAAACATTATTCTCGCACTTCCAAAAACATACGAACATGTTTGACACTGGAGTCCAATAATTTTTTTTATTATAATAAGACTTAATAGTTTTTAGTTTTTTATTTTATTTTAAAATATTTATATTAAAAATAAAAAAAAATATTATTTATATATGTTCTTTTTTAAAAAATAAATTCTACCGCACGCCACCCAGATCTACACCGTGCAAATCAGCAGCCAAAAATGGAGGAGCCACAAAACGGCAACGCCAGTCGAGAACGACGAGTATGCAATGATTGGACCTGGTCCAGCGCCGAAGGCCCGAGCCAAGCGTCCTCTTCAGTTCGAGCAAGCTGACCTTAATTTGTAAAAATGGCCTGCTTTGTTGCACAATTTCAAATGATCGGTCCGTGAAAATACATGATGTTGTCAATTATGACATGATGGTCATGATCTGCCTTCCGTACGTTCATGGCACTGCTGAGTTGGTCTACAAACAAGGGGATGTCAAAGCTGCAACATCAACAGCTCACCATTTTCATAACATGGGGTTTTAACTCCTGGATTCTTTCTTATTCCATGATGAAGACCTCAACTTTCTTTGTTTCCTTTTCTATTCCATTTCTCCAGATACATTTGGAGCCAGTTAAAGTTATGAAGTTACAACCCTGTACTTGACACAGTGATATATGCTGATGCAAAGGGGATTATTGAATACTGGGGGTCCCACCATACTTCAGTTCCATTGGTATTTGGGCTTCATAACTGAGGGTCACACAGTGATATCTGCTGATGCAAAGTTGTGATGATAACTGTAAATGTTACACCATTGTTCACCAGGTGAGCCCAGATGGTAAGCAGTTTTCCATTACACCACCTGATCGAAGGAGACCCGAATATTGGTTTAGGACGGGTAAGCTAAGACTAGTTTATGATGAATTTCATGAGGTGATACCAGTTATGAGTATACTATCATATATAATTTATTTGCTAGTGGAGTCTTCTGTAATGATCGATTATCATGCGTTGTGTTAGGAGGCTCAAGATCTCCAGAGAAGTGATGCTCCCTTGTACCGGTTAGAGGCTATTGATTTTGGGTGAAGAATGGCTGTTGAGAAAGAAAATGAGAAGACAGAAACTGCACCTCCACTGAATGCCATCTTTGACAAAAACTCAAACTTTCTTATATATGCAACCCTCCTTGGAATAAAAGTAAAGATGCTACTGCTAACACAAATCAGGAATTTATTTTTTTCTGCGCTGCATTTATTTACAAGTACAAAGCATGAGTATGTTTTTGTACGTATATGCATCGCTGCACTCCTAACATATCATCTCCCCCCCCCCCCCCCCCCCCCCACACCCAGCCATTTCACATGTTTTTTTTGGTAGTAAATTCGCAGACCAATAAAGTTGCCTGATAGTCACCCTGTATCAAGGTGACCGAAGCAGTAAAAAAATCTGAAAAATTCCTACAGCTGCAGCCAATGCCAATGAGAGCAAAGAGCCTTTAACGGATCCCGCTCTCTTGTGCTGTGCTTTCAAGAAACACAGGATTTATCTATTCAGGTGCTAATTCTCCTCAACTTGGCTGATCATGCAAAATGCTGGGTAAAATTACTGTTTTTGCTACATGGCCAATAATTATTAATTAACAAAGAAAATTCACCAATGTGAAAAGCAGTTACGATTTGTAAAAGTGAGAGAAGTGTAGGTAACTTCTGGTTCGCATGTCAGAGGGTAAACAACTTCTGTCATACATTTTTCCACCTATTAGATCTTCTTTCCCCAAAAGAGCCAACTAGCATGCTCGTATATATTTAGGCCGCTTCTACTTTTTACTAGGAAAGATGTATTTCTGGCATTGTTTCTATGCACTGGAAGTTCCTCCCAACACTTTGGATTGTTGGATAATCTGAAATGTTACATTGTTTTTAATGATTGTTTTAATTGTGCAAATAGCCGGAGAGAACCAGAGGAACCTGGGGACTCGACTAAAGGGAGGGGTGTGTTCAATGAAAAACCTCAACCCGATGAACTTTTAGCCGTATCAGATTCAGGGAGGGTGGGTGGACCTTGCTGTGCATTCATAAGTTTTATATGAAGTATGGGAATATACTCTGGATACGCTGTTTTTTTTTTTTTTCACTTACATAAGCGTGAAGATTGTTGAAGAAACTAAGGTCTTCTTGTATGTTTGAGTCACATGTGTAAGACAGCCTTAATTGTGAGTGCATTTTTAGAAATTGCTGGCTGAAATGGCATGCACATATGATTAATGATTCCATCAAACATGTTCTTGGCAAATCTGAACTTTATTTTACCTGATTTTGCATACTACAATGGGAGACGTTCACATGAGACTGTACCCTGAAAAATGTCCAAAAACTGTGGAGAATTTCACGACACACTGCCAGAATGTCTACTATGATAATCTTATCTTCCACCATGTCATCAAGGGTTTCATGATACAAACAGGAGACCCATTGGGAGATGGCACTGGTGGGCAGTCTATCTGGGGAAGGGAATTTGAGGGTGAGTTTCACAAAAGGTAATCTTTTAGGTGAATTGAATTTGTTTTTCTCCAGTTTATTTGTGCTTTTAGTTGTTACTGCTTCCAGCATTTTGAAGAAGTCTCTTGTTTAAATTCAAATCATTGTATTGAGAAATCCCTGTTCCTAATGTATGGTTGATTGTGATTTTCTCACTTTTTATCCCTTTGGCTAAAAGGAAAAGGGATAGTTACTCAATATTTATTTATCGTTATCCTTTTTTTATTTGGTAGTTTATTTTTCTTGTTCTTTGAATGATTCCACGTTAATAACAAACTTGGTAGCATGGCATTGGATCCTTTAGATGTGCATTAATGTTCATATCTACTTAGATTAGTGCCAAACAATTAGAGACTTGTTAATTCCAGGTGCATGGTCATGTGGCTTTCTTGCTGGTTCTTTTTTTAACCCCTGTTACTGTATTTAATTTCCCCTGTCATCAATTGTGAACTAACTGGATGAATATTTCTGTTCTGCAGTTTACTACACGAC